GTCTCATACTAAAATACAAAACTAGCTTGGGCGTCGTGACCTGTCACTCGCCTGTAATCACTCCCAGCTACCTCTCGCCGGCTCGAGGCAGGCGAATCCTACGCCCTTCGCGGCCGCAGGGTTGCTCGCTAGCGCCTCTCCCGCCCCTGCCTCGCTCGCGCGCCGCCCCCCCGACTCCTCTCCACACCACAAAAAAAAATAAACAAAGCGCCGGGTGCAGTTGGCTGCACGGCTGTAATCCCCAGCACTTTGGAGCAGCCGAGTGCCGGGCCATCCACCTGAGTTCCCACGCACCCTGCCACCCCATGCAGACACATCTCTACTACACATCACTCGCGAGAGCCCGCCTCCGTCGCGCGGCGCCGCTGCCCTATCCCGAGCTACTCGGCTGCTGGCCACGAGACACTCCCTCTGAAACTCGAGGCAGAGGTTTCCGGCTGGACCCGAGCGATCCGCCTGCCATTGCCAACTCCCAGCCCCTGCCTTCCGGGCCCAAGATGCGACACTCCTCTCAACAAAAAAACAAAAAAGCCCTGCTTGCCGGCGCCGGTTGCTTCACGCTTGTCACTCCCAGCACTATGGGAGGCCGGGTGCGGCCGGCTCCCCGCAGCTCAGCGCGATCTCGCGCAAACCCATCTCGCTAACCCCCGGAACCCACTCTGTCCTCATCTCAAACTACCGCAACACAAAACAATCATTCCTCCCGCTTTCGCGTGCTTGAGGGCGCCTATAATCTCAGCCTACCGCGTGAGGCTGCGCCCGAGCGCGAAAGTGCCGTTGCAACCCGCCGAGGCTCGGAGTTGCGCGAGCGACTAACCCGCGCGCCACTGCGCGCGGCATTTCGCCTCGGCCGAGCGCCGCCCGCGTCCTCCACTGCTAAAAACAAAAGAGCCTGGGCGCTTGTGCTCATCCTGCTAATACCAGCACTTTGGGAGGCCGAGACGAGGCGGATCACTGAGGGTCAGGAGATCCGGACATCACTGGCGAACCGGTGACACCCCGTCTCTACTATAATCACAAAAACTATCGGACCCGGCGAGGCGGCCGGTCGCCTGTAGTCCCAGCGAGCTCGGGAGCTCTGATGGCAGGAGATGGCTTAAACCAGGGTGGACGGAGCTGCGCAGTGAGCGCGATCCGCCACCTGCGACTCAGCCCGGTGCGCGCAAGGCCAGCTGCCGTCTCAAAAACAAAAAAAAAACAAAAGCGTACTCATAACTGCAAACCAGGCAACTTTCAGACATAAACTAACGGAAATATCTACAGCCATCTCTTTATTATCTTATGTATTTTGTTTTTTTATTTATTTACTTTGGGCATCTCCTTCAGAGAACATAAGTTAAAATAGTTCGTTTAAAACAACCAAACAAAGCCTGCTTAAATCCCACGCCTCGCCGCGCGTTCTCGCCGCCGCGCTCGCCCCTTCGGACTCACTCCCGCTACCCCCGCCCCTGAAATGCCGTCTCTACCATTACACATACCACAACAACAAAAAGCTATGAGGCAGACGCTGGACAGCGCGCTCTGTAGTCCCAGCTACTCCGAGCTAGCGCGCAAGAGAACTAGGCGTGAACCCA